ATACTCCTGTTGTAGATCATTTCCAGAGATGGCTGCCGTGGATTCCTTTCTTCTCTGCATGTGCATGCTTTTCCGCCTATCAGAAGGTGGAAAAGCACCACCTTCTATCTCCCTCCTCTTGAATATTTGTGGTAGAAGTAACATTCAGAGATTTCTAAATCCAGGCTTTAAGAGGACTGGCAGCCATTTGCTTCCTCCTTGGAAGTTCAGCCTTCCTTAGGCCACCATGCTATGAGGAAGCCCAAACCAGTCATGTGAGGAGGGAGAGGAGCTGTGCGGAGAAGCACTGTGTCAAACATGGGAGGGAAGCCTGGGCCCTCCAGCTCAGCCTAGCGACTAGCAGAATACAGCTTAGCTATCTGAGAGACCATAGATGATGCCGTGTGGAGATGAGCACTCAGGCATGCCCAAATTCCTGACTCACAGAATCATGAGAACTGAGAAAGTTTTTGTTGTTTTAAGCCACTGTTTTGGAATGGTTTGTTATGCAACAATATGTAATTAAAACACCCATACCTATCATATACTCACCTATGTTCATACACACACAAACTCGCATACACTTATAGACATGCTTGCATACACACACCTTTGTACTAGACACTGTTGACTGTCTACCCAACATGCATTTCCATTTGTCTTCTTTTTTTTAACATTGTTTTTAAATTTTTTTAATTTTTATTTATTTATGATAGTCACACACAGAGAGAGAGAGAGAGAGGCAGAGGCACAGGCAGAGGGAGAAGCAGGCTCCATGCACCGGGAGCCCGACGTGGGATTCGATCCTGGGTCTCCAGGATCGTGCCCTGGGCCAAAGGCAGGCGCCAAACCGCTGCGCCACCCAGGGATCCCTGTTTTTAATTTTTTAACGTAATCGCTACACGTAATCGCTACGTGAGTGCTACGTAACTCACTCCCTGAAAATGAAGAGTCTAGCAACTGAGCCAGCCAGGTGCCCCACCCCTTAATCGTCCTGACAGAAATCTGTCAAATGACTGCCATTCCCCTAAGCAGTCTTGTACTTTATTTTTTTAAAGATTTTATTAATTTATTCATGAGAGACAGAGAGGCAGAGACATAGGCAGAGAGAGAAGCAGGCTCCATGAAGGAAGCCCCATGCGGGACTCCATCCCAGGACTCTGGGATCACACCCTGAGCCAAAGGCAGATAGATGCTCAACTGCTGAGCCACCCAGGCATCCTAAGCTTTGTGCTTTAAAAAGCTAATTCCATTCTCAGCTCCAGGAGGGGGCTCCTGATTAGTTTAAGTGGAACTTGGTGGTCTTGGGCCTCGTAACAGAGATTGGGTTAACTTTGACCATGTGACCACGTTCTCACCAATGAGACATGGGGGGAAGTAGGATTGAGGCTCCTTGGAAAAAATTCCTCCTTCTTAGGAAAGTCACCCCAAAAACAAAGATGCATTTATTTGTTAACAGATTCTTCATGTCTGTATGTGGGATTTGGAAATGCTGCAGACACTTTGTGACCAGAAGGATACAGAATCAAACATAGTAGAGAGGTGGAAAGAATAGGTTCTTAAATAACTCTTGATCAATGCAATCTGTCCACTAGAGAGTCCTTTCCTCCTTGTGTCGGAACTCCAGTTATGTGAGATAATAACACTATTGTTTGAGGGTTTTTCTTTTCCTTGCTTTGTTTGTTTTTATTTGTAGTCTAGGCACCCAACTAATTTCTCCCTTCCCTTCAGTAAATAAACACTTCTCCATGCCCGTATGGAAACAGTTCCAGAGCCACTCACAGAAAACCACAGCTGAGCACCTGTGTACTCTGCTTTGTATGTATGCACAAGTACATAACTCCACATGTATACACACCTATGCTCAGGGAAATCACACATCCTCCTACACACATAGATACAGGGGCACTGATATGTGTATATATACACTTTCTCACACATGCATGCAATTCCTATTATTCCTATTCACAAGACATAAAGAAACCTGGGCAATGCGCATTTTTGTACAGAGGCACGGAGCCACACGTACTGGTCACACTGATATTAACATGAATTTACCCCATTCCTTCCCATGTATGAATAGCCATGGTGAACATACCCACAGCTGAAGGGGTCTGCTTGGCTGTCAGGGTGGCTTGGGTGTGCACAGCAGCTCCATGGTCATGGAGGCTGAACTAAACACAGCACTAAGGAAGGCTGGGATGAGTCTGTTTCCACCTCACATGGGAAAGAAAACCTTTCCACCACCCACCCAGCACTTTTGTCCGTACTGACACAAAACCTACTTGGCTCTCCAAGGAGTTCTCTTTATTTTACTTCCTAGGCAAACAACTGAGTCAGGTATCGCACAAAAATGAGTTCTCACTATTTCTGCCACTGGGCATTGTAGAGAGAGAGGAAAGTATGTGTAAAGGCAAGGTGGTGCAAAATAACATAGTGTGTGTGCGTGTGGGTCCAAGTGATAATGAGTTTGTGGCAGAGAGTGAGGGCATAACAGAAAATGAGGCTGGGGAGTTGGGTGAGGACCTCATCAGGCTTCTGGGTTTACCTTTAAACTCCCATGGCCCACCCACTCACCCTGACCCCTGGTGCCCTGTGACTTTGCACTCAGACCTTCGTCTTCCATCCATTGCTCTTTTTGTGCCATTGATATGCACTATGATTAACAAGATGTTGTGGAAGATAAGATAGCTCAGTGGTTGAGTGCCTGCCTAAGGCTCAGGGTGTGGTGTGATCCCGGGGAGTCCCAGGATTGAGTCCTGCATCGGGCTCCCTGCTTGGAGCCTGCTTCTTCCTCTGCCTGTGTCTCTGCCTCTCTCTCTGTGTCTCTCATGAATAAATAAATAAAATATTTTTTTAAAAAAAGTATATTTCCTTTCTGGCTTGTGTATGAGGTGATTTGGGTTACATTCTCTCAATTTCCCTTCTTTGGTATCTTATAACCTAGAGCAGTTACCAAGAATATTCTAGAGTTAGCTTTTATTCTTTGACAATGTAAATTCATCTTTTCAGAAATTTCATGTTCCTAAGTTTAATATTAAGCCATTTGCTGGGGTGCCTGGGTGGCTCAGTTAGTTAAGCATCTGCCTTCAGCTCAGGTCATGATCCCGGAGTCCTGGGATCGAGTCCCGCACAGGGCTATCTGCTCAGCGGGGAGTCTGCTTCTCCCTCTGCCCTCACCCTGCTATGCTCTCTCTCTCTCAAAAAGAAAGAAAGCAATTTCCAGGGGTATCTGGCTGGCCCAGTCAGTGGAGTGTGTGACTCTTGTTCTTGGGGTTGTGAATGCAGGCCCCATGTTGAGGGAAGAGATGATTTAAAAATAAAAGCTTAAAAAAAACCCAAGCAATTTCCCAAATAGTTCATATACATATAGTATATACAAATCCATAGAGTAGAATCCTGTTATGAATAAAATGTTCGTACGTGTGTTGATATGTGCATACCATAAGGTCTGAAAAGATATATATATACCAACTGTTAACCAATAGTTATATCTGAGTGATAGGGTTACAGATGATCCTTATGTTCTTTAGACTTTTCTGCATGTTTCTGAATTTTATGCAAATAGCATGGGTTACTTTTATCTCCAGAAGAAAATGATTTCAAACTTCAAAAAAAGTGTAATCTACATTTTAGCTGAAAGTATAAAGCCGATTGTGAGAAACGGCGAGAAAATTAGAGGGAGAAGTGGGAAGAAAACCGAATCAGCTTGTGCGTGAATCTTCTGGGTGTCTTCAGGGGGCCGCCCAGCCCTTATCAAAGGAGGCTTGCAGCCCATCATCTGAACCCATCTGTCACAGACACAGCTCCAACCTCAAGGGACGTCTGATGGAGGGGGAATAGGTGTCACGTGTGCATGAGAAGCGTGCCAGGTGCTAAATGAGAGGCAAACTGGAGAGAGAACTCACCCGGGGGTCTGGAGATTCCGATTCTGTTGCCACTCTGGCACCTGGTGGCCTTGGGCAAGTGGCTTCACCTCTGTGAACTTCAATCTTCTTATCTGTCAGAGGAGTTTAATGACAATAACTGGGATGCTGTGATGTTCAGATAAGATAGCTTAACTATAATCACTTTATGAACTCTGAGGTGCGTCATAGGTCACCTTCCCAACGTGCAACAGCGCCTCCGAAGCAAAGGAATCCATCCCTGTGGTGCCCATTCAGATCCAGGCAGTAGGCAAGTGCACCGTTGAGGGGCGGGGCCAGCTTTGGAGGGGCCCTAAAAATCCCACCATGCAGGCTGCAGCCCGCACAGCTCTGACATTACAGAATATAAAGTCAGGGAGGACACTCTTGCCTCAGCTCAAAGACCTGCACAGCCGGTTCTTCTCTGCAGAGCTGTACACCCCAAAGGAAAAAAAAAAAATTAGGAGTAGCCACTTCCTGGCCTTCTCTGAATGTCCAATCCTTTCCATAATTTAACTGCCTGCTCTGGATAATTACTTTCTCTTGCTTATGAGCTTAGAGCAATAGTAGTTCCCAATAACTGGAGACTTAATAAGGCTAAATTATAATGAGTGTCCTGCGGAATTACATACTGCATTAACACCAAATGAGTTCATTAGAAATTCATTAGGAGTGATTCCTGTGACTGCCACAGGAATTAATCACAGTTAGCCAGAGGCAGGAGAGTGGGGGATGAATAATTGCACAGGGAACTGGATGAAGACCTTTTGGCACCTGACTTTGGCCCAAAGCAATATCTTCTGAGGGTCATGGGCTGCTTTGGTTGTGAGTGTGGAGGTGAGGTTGCCTGGATGTTGTTGGATCTACCTCCTACACTTCCTCCTCCTTCCTGGCTAGGGCCCCCAGTCAGGATTAGACCAGTGGAGGTGGGGTGAGCAATCTTCTTTTCCAGTCTTAGGTAGCTAAGGAATCGGAGAAAGGACCTGTAGGTCTTGTAAGAACATACATTCCCCTTTCCTGTAAGAGCAGGTGCCATCCCCTTTCTGAGTACCCTAGCGCATGGAGTTATCCAATCCTCCCAGGAGGTGGGTTGACTTGTTAGCCCCATTCTGCTGATGTGGAAACCCAAGCACAGAAATTTAGTCACCTGCCCAAATGATACAGCCAGTAGTTAGCCAAGCTGGGAATTTTGAGTCTTTCAATTAGCAATAATCGCGCCTCAGATAAACCTCATTGGCTATGATACTACCACTGCACAGAGCTTGGGAATTTGAGTCTTAAGTGGAGTGTTGTAAGGATGGAGGTTGGTCGAAGGTGATTCACTGGTCTTCTTGATCCCTGGCGCTATGTGGCATCTTGAGGTGTCTGGTGGTTTAGCTTTTCTATCATTTCTACGAGCTGCCCATGCCCTCCCAAGAAATTCCCTTTTTGTTTATCACTAAGAATCAGTGTCTGTTACATCTGGAAAAGCCCCGACTGAGGCAACCAACACATACTGGAAACCGTTCCTACTACAAGGCCACCCTGGGTCAGCTGCTGTATGGGGCACAGAGAAGCACACAGGGTAGACTTCCTGCCCTCCTCTGCTTCAATCTCTGGTAGAAAAGTAACAGTAACAATTCAATCCTGTGTCCTCCTATGCAGATTCTAAGCAGAAGAGAACCAAACCTGGATGGACTAGACTGGAAGGAGAAAAAGGCTTCTTGGAGGGCATGGCACATGAGCTGGGCAGGATCCTGGGAGAGAGTCACTGTTGTGGAGACTTTCTGGGTGTCTGCTCATCCCGCAGTACCTTCTTCAAAACTGTCCCTGTCTACCTGAGCAGTGGACACATTGGTGGGTATCTGCACTCTTGCCTATGTTTAGAAAACTCCCCACAACATGGGTTCTGGTGGAAGGTGGGGTCCACTTCCCAGTATGAAGCAGCAAAGGCCAGATGGGCCTCATGTTCCCATCATCCAGTGGCAATGAGGTGCCTGCTTATGACTTCAGCTCAACCAATCAGACATTCCCACTGGGACATTTCCTCTGCAGCTGGTGATACAAAGAAGCAGGGACAAGAGAATCCATTCTGGTATCTGTTGGGAGTGGGAAGGAGTTAGGGGGACATACCCACTGCCCAGGGGAATGTTGGCTACAATGCCAGTGAGCCGTCTCGCCATTGATAGGGATGCAAACTGCCCAGTCCAGCTTTTGGGGGTACTGGCAACAACATCCCAACAAAACCACTTCTTTTTTTGAAAGATTTTATTTTATTTTATTTTTTTAATTGTTTATGATAGTCACAGAGAGAGAGAGAGAGAGAGAGAGAGGCAGAGACACAGGCAGAGGGAGAAGCAGGCTCCATGCACCGGAGCCCAACATGGGATTCGATCCCAGGTCTCCAGGATCGCGCCCTGGGCCAAAGGCAGGCGCCAAACCGCTGCGCCACCCAGGGATCCCTGAAAGATTTTATTTATTCATTCATTAGAGACACACACACACACAAACACACACAGGGAGAGAGAGAGAGAGAGAGAGAGAGAGAGAGAGAAGCAGAGACATAGGCTGAGGGAGAAGCAGGCTCCATGCAGGGAGCCCAATGTGGGACTAGATCCCAGGATTCCAGGATCAGACCCTGGGCTGAAGGCAGGCACTCAGCCTCTGAGCCACCCAGGCGTCCCCCAACAAAACCACTTCTGTGATGTAACTGAGGCCATAGTTCTAGCTGATTACCCTCTCCTGTCCTGCCTTGTTTTCCAACCCCGAAAATTCTGTGATCTAATCTCTATCCTTCCAATAAATTTCTTTTCTGCTCACATCTGTTTCCACTGCTTGCAATAAAGACCCCTGCCTCCCTGCCCACAGATGATGGGGTGGGGTGGGGTGGGGGAGGCAGACACCTGACTCACGATAGACCAATCAGATTCTCTCTCCCCACTCAGCGTCTGTTGGTTGCTCTGAAAGCCCCCGGGTGTGTGTGCACGTGGACAGCAGAGAAAGGACAGCAGGAAGCAAGAATCAAGTAGACACAGAGAGAGAAGCTGCACATGACAGCAGAGAAGCTGATTCCTGATGCTCTCCAGTTCCTGGTCCTAGGTCCTCATGACACCCAACTCCATTTCCACCTCTTGGGTTCCCTAAGTTGGCCCTGCATCCTTACATTAGATTGAACCATGTGCAATTGTTGTTTTAAAAAGTCTAGAAGATCAAATATTAACAAGTATGTATAGTTTATTTTAACCTAATAAGTTCGCCTTTTTGGCCAAGCCTCTCTCAAGTGGGTTTCTTTACTTGTAATCTGAAGGGCTGTGCCTACAACAGTCAGACATTCCATCAGGTCAAAAAGAGAGTGGAACAGAGACATGGAGCAGAAACAGAAAACAAGGGTTTTCCTTGTTTCCAGGGAGGAGGCTGCCCTGCAGACCAAAGGCTACAGGACTTCCAATCACATCTCTGGGTACTGTCTCTGAGGTCACTCTTCCTGTACGGGTTTATGACCTATGAACATTTTTTTTTTTAGATTTTAAAAAAAAATTTTATTTTTATTTATTTATTTAAATATTTTATTTATTTATTCATGAGAGATGCAGAGAGAGAGAGAGGCAGAGACACAGGCAGAGAGGGAAACAGGCTCCCTGCAGGGAGCCTGATGTGGGACTCAATCCCAGGATTCCGGGATCACACCCTGGGCTGAAGGCAGATGTTCAACTGCTGAGCCACCCAGGCATCCCTAGATTTTTTTTAAAGTAATCTCTATCTACAACTTGGGGCTTGGTCTTATAATCTCAAGATCAAGAGTCGTGTGATCTATGGACTGAGCCAGCCAGGTGCCCCTTAAATTCCTGTTTTAAAGGCTCAAATGTTTTTAGTAAGTTACTCAAAGGTATACAAATGAAATTGAAGAGTCAGGCTTTATCCCCCGGTCTGTGTGGGATTTAGACTCACGTTTTTACTTCACTGATCTTTTTAATAAATTCTCTGGGCCCTTCTGATCAGTGCTTGTTACAAATTATAGACCACACTCGTGGCCTTTCACTTTTGGGGAGGCCCCCTAGAGCACCTGATGAAAGCCATAAACCTGCTCCAAAACATTCACGTATATGTATAAAATGTTGCCTCCTGGTTCAGTTCATGGATGGTTATGAAGCCCACTCTGCCATAAATCTCATGATCCATGAACATCTACCAGAACTTCAGCCCCATCCTACCTGCCTCAAGTAATACTATTCATGTTCATTGGTAGCCTTGAATAATGCTTTTGTTTTGTCTTCTCCACATTGTGGTGTTTCCTATTCATGTATGTACTTGTTCCTACCTGACCTAATTGTCCAACAATGGGGACTGATTGAATAAGTTGCAATACACCCACACTGTGGATTACTATATGGTCATTAAAGTGATGGCTGGGACTGGAGTGGACTTGGGTGGTGAGAATGATGTAGAAGACTTGGTAAGAGGTGATGACCACTCAGTGATGACGGGAAGGACTACTGAGTATTCAAAACCTGGCTGAGGGAAGATCATGAATTTGTGGTGGTGTCACCCTCTCTTCCCTTGCATGGGCTTTCTCTCCTGATTGTAGTCAGCAGTCCTGAAGATGGGTGGGTGGAAAGACAATTTGGGGCAGAAGAGGCCCAAGGATGGGGCCTATGAAGCCAAAGTAACCAATGAACATTGAGGGTCCTGGCAGAGGAAGTGATGCATCAGTGGGCTGGATAGGAAAGAAAGTAAGGCTAAAATTGGAAGGTGCAGTAGGGCAAAGGGGATGATCTATAAGGGTAGAGCTTCATTTATTGGGGTGGGGACTGTTTTCTCTTGTTGTGTATCTCTGCTCTCTAACACCTACCCTGGTGCTCAGGAAATGTATGTTGAATTAATTAATTAATGAACGCATGGGTCATAACTCTGTTAGAACCAGAGACTGACATTCTGCTTTCATCAGAGGTCTGAGAGGATCCATAGTGGTGTTAAGTACCACTTCAGGTCAGAGTGAACTGAATTCAAATCCAAGGGTCATCAACAACAAGCTCTGTGATCTTGGATAAGTCATCTAATCTTTCTGAGTCTAGATTTTCTCTTCTGTATATACGGATAATAACAGCTCTTTTGGGAATTCAAGATGCCATGTGTCCAACACTCAGCACAGGGTCTGACACTTTGGGATCCCTCCATAAGTATTGCAGGGGCAGTAATGGTCTCCAAGAATTGGTTGGTTCTGGAGGCTGCATCCAAACTAAATTGCTGCATTTAGTGAGAGGACACAAGGGCAGGACCTGAAGCCAGACTGCCATCTCCACTTACCACCTGAGTGTGACATTTCTGAACCTCCGTTTCCTCATCTAAGTAGTGGGGATAATATCAGAACCTATCTAACCGATTGGTTGGGAGAATTGAGTGGTAATTCTTGTAAAGTATTTAGCACCTTAAAGATTCGGAATGGATGTTGGCTCCTGAGATTCCCTATCAATGGAGCTGAAGAAGTACAGGGGAGGAGGAGGCTTTGCTGAGGTCCGAAGAACAAGGGTTTTAGACAGGTTAAGTTTGAGATGGCACAAGACATGAGGTGGAGCCATTGGATAGTCAGTTGGATATAAGTCACAGGGGGTGGTCTAAGATGAGAAGATAGTTGGAGAGTCATCTGCATAGAAGGTATTTAAAGCCTTGGACAGGGACAGCTCACAAGGGGAGTGAGTGCTCAGTGAACAGACAAGAATGAGGACCAAACTCTGGGGCTTCTGATGCTTAGCAAAGATGGAGATGATTGTTTTTACAAAGCTGGTGACCAGACATAGCAGCGTTGAAACTACACAGCTGGCCTGCCCCAGCAACATTTACGTAACACTCTTTTATATACAGACAACCTTCAGAGATATTGCAGGTTCAATCCCAGACCACTGCAAAAAAGCGAATATCAAAACAAAGTGAGTTGAATGAAGTTTTTGGCTTCCTAGTGCATATAAATGTTTAGGAGCACCTGGGTGGCTCAGTGGTTGAGTGTCTGGCTTTGGCTCAGGTCATGATCCTAGGATCTTGGGATCGAGCCCCACATTGGGCTCCCTATGGGGAGCCTGCTTCTCCCTCTGCCTATGTCTCTGCTTCTCTCTGTGTCTTTCATGAATAAATAAATAAAATCTTTTTTAAAAAAGTTATGTTTACACTCTGCTGCTATCTACTAAGTGTGTAGTAGCATTATGTCTGAAAAAACGTTTTATTGCTATAAGTGCTAACCATCACCTGAGCTTCCAGTGACTCATAATTACTGATCACAGTTCACTGTCACA